GAGGGGTCCTTCGTTTGTGCCATGCCCTGCAGCGTTCGCAGCCGGATGTCAGCAAGCGGGCATACTGGAGTTTTGGCTCAAGTTTTGCACTGGCTTGCCAGACTTTAGATAGGTTACAGGTGCCCTTAGCTCTTCAGGTCGTCGCATCTTGGATCGCAAGTCGTCCGGAACGGGCCGATGTGCAGGTTCAAAATCTGGTATGCTGTAGACATAGCAGAAGTGTAGTCATGCTACCGCTCACACGATGTCATAGAATGTAATGTAATTCAAAATAGTTGTGTGACATAACGGAATAGAGTGAAATGGAGTGGGATATGGCATTATACAGCAACACAGAATAGCATGGAATACGGTACAACAGGTGTACAATGCAATAGAATTTGCACAATCCAACATAATACAATATATTAACACAGTCAAATTTCAGCACAGTACAATACAATACAAGACCATATCATACAAGTCAGTAGTATATTATATAATGTAATATGACATAACATACTGCAATATACTGAAATGCAACAATTATACTGTACTGTTCTAGCCTTTATGTTTTACATATGATGTGAGAATGTAATGTACTACAATATGGTACAGTACAATACAATACATGAAATACAATACGGCAATGTGGCATAGTGCAGTGTACTTTAATTTTCCGGTGATGTATTTCAACACTGTGTTTGTGTATTGCTTGTCATGTCATGTGTGGCCATATACATACACCCACATAAATTACTGAATAAATCGATAGAGAAGTGTGTGTGTGTGTATATATATATATATATATATGTGTGTGTGTGTATGTATGTATGTATGTATGTACAATCTATGTGTGTGCACAGATAATTATTTATATATATATATATATAGATACATATGTATATACTATATATATACACACAGAAAATAGCCTATACATATACATGTATACAAACATCTACGTATTCGCGCTCTCTGTGTCTCTCTCCCTCTCTCTCTCTCTCTCTCTCCCTCTCCCTCTTTCTCAGTCTCGCTCTCTCGCGCTCTCTCACGCTCTCTCACGCTGTCTGGCTCTCTCGCTCTCTCGCTCTCTCGCTCTATCTCTCTCTCTCTCTCTCTCTAACGTCCGCCGTCTGTAACATTCAAGCACAGTTTTTCCTAGTGGCTGAAGTCCTCTGCTAGCCAGGCCAATCAACCTGTAGCTTTCGGTACTCCGTGCCCTCCGCATGACCCCATGACTACATGCAAATGTGACGGAACTTTATTCCTGCCGATGTATATATCATAAGTCCATCAGGATATATGCATATACATAAACATACATTAAGTGACATTCATACATACATACATGCATACATAGATACATAATGACTAGATAAGTTGCACTTCGGACTCAGAGGCGAAGGGATGACGACGAGCGACACAGCCTTGAACCGCCTGCTACGGCTTCTGGCAACAGTCCGAAACATAAAACAAAGCAACAGTTCAAGCGAAACTGCCGTGCATGATGGAGAAGCGAAGACTGAGAGCTTCCGCTGAACGGAGTCTTCAGCTAAATTAGAGTTTGGAGTTTACGCTTGACCTGCGGCAGCCCATGACGTATGGTCAAGGGCCAAGAACAAGAACAACAAGCTAACCAACCGAAGATGATACAATGGGGTCGGGAAGCTTTCTGGACCCCTTCCACGAAATGAAGATGCCCCGGTGAGCCTTGTGAGATCACATGGCGGCAGCCAGCCAATGTCCCGACGACCTTGCAGATGCCGGTGGAAACACACAGACCTGCACTTCGCTAAGTCCATCTACTCGGGGAATGGACTCATTCACCTAAGGGCCGGACATACGAGATGTACGTATATATGTATCTGTGTTTTTTGTATGCATGCATGCGAGTGCATACGGTGTGTGTGTGTGTGTATATATGCATGCATGCATGCATGCATGCATGCATGCATGCATGCATACATGGATGTATGTGTTAACTTTGGTATGGTGGCAGAAAGGCAAATACAATAGGTACGAGTGGGTATAATTTGGCAGTCCAGCATGCGAAACCCTACCTCAGGATGCTGCCGGAGCCCCTGCAGAACCTAAACCCCAAACACTAAACCGCCTTGCGGAACCCTAAACTCTCAGGCACACCATCCGCTAGGATGCTGCGCCCTAAGAGGATTGTGGACTTCTTCCTTTCATGAAGACCTTGGCCTCATCATGCATGGGGTTAAGGGTTTTGGGGCATGGAGGCCAGGAAGCCAGTAGAAGAAGCGGCGGGGAAATATCAGTAACACGACTTAGCATTGAGCGTCCCGCAACAACTTCGTTGAGCTTGAATACCTGCGGGAAAGTCCGCGGAGCCTGACAGCCTTAATAAACGAACTCCCATAGTGAATGAACCTCTGTCGAACCGAAACACAGCTTGCTGTCCGCTTTGCTTGGCACCTCGGCCACGTTGGCGCTCACGAAAACGAAGTAGGTGGCGCAGAAGCCCACCTGCTCAGGGCCTTATTTTTTATGTGATGTACTTGCTAAATACGTGTATGTGTTTATATATATATATATGTATGTATGTATACATATGTATCTATGTATGTATGAGGGTGTGCGTGTATGTATATATATATATATACACATGCATTCATGTTAAACTTGCATATGCACACAATTTGCATGCGCATATACACGTGCATGTGTATATATATATATACACATACATGTACGCATGTATGTATGTATGCATGCGTGCATTGCATACATGCCGGTTTGAATGAATATTAGTTGTTGGGTCGCTACTGCTGTGTTCGACAAACCTTCAGCCCCAAAAAACACACACACCCACGAATCCTCTTCAACCCGAAGGCCCTAATGAAACTCAGAGCCTCCAGCCTTCAGGGCTTCAGCCCCAAGCTCCAAACTCTGGTTTTGTATGGTTGCCAGATCTACAAGCTTCTAATACGAACCCCTTTGAAAATAAACACTCCCATCAAGTTTTCTAAGGGGTAGTATATGACAGCCTCGAAGCCCACAATTGTGCGGATCAAACATACCCCTCAAGAGTGCAGTGGCCTGCCAGGAGCCTCCAGAACACCGAACCAAAATCCCTCTGCATTCACAGCCATAAGGCTCCTAGCTCAGAAGAGGCCCAGAAGAAGCCCTGTACTACTACCGTACTACTGTACTACTACTGCACTACTATTGTACTACTACTGTGCTACTATTGTACGACTATTGTACTACTACTGTGCTGTATTACTACTGTACCACTGCTGTACTATTATTGCACAACAACAACTACTACTGTACTACTACTGTAATTACTGTACCACTGTTGTACTACTACATAGTAGTACTGCTACTGCTGCTACTAGTACTACTACTACTAGTACTACTACTAGTACTACTACTACTACTACTACTACTACTACTGCTGCTACTACTACTACTACTACTACTACTACTGTTACTGTTACTGTTACTGTTGATGTTACTGTACTTTTTGCACTCTTATTGTACTGCTTCTGTACTAATGTAGTATTTCTGTACCAGCGGACCCCGATCACTTTAGAAGCCGCGAAAGGCCGTGATCTCTAGCACGCTCAGGGAACCCTGATACAACCCACCACATCCAGTGTATCTCCTCCAACGCCAAAAAGCTCTTGTGGAACCCTCGCATAACTCTGAAAGAGCTGTAATTAAGTACGATAAACCCCCTGCAAAAGCCTTACAACACCATTGAACAACAACCGGCAAAAGCAGAGCCTGGGAAGCTGCGACCGAAAGGTCCACAACAGCCCGGCCAGGCTTGCCGAGAGCAACCTGCCCGTGGCTCAGGAAGTTGCTCTGGGGTTCAGGAGTTTAGCTTACAGCAACAAATCGAGATTTCTGTGGAGACTTGGACTTTCTGGGGTTCTGAGGGTTTCAATTCTTGGAATCTGCCTCAAGTTATTCAGAATGTTGCATGTGACGTAATTGGCGAGAAGGAGGTATTAGGGTCTAATCTAGACGTCTGAGTTAATACTTGCAATACTATTCTTGAAGGTTCCTCATTGTGCTTATAGTATAGCAGCACCCAACAGCCCCATATTGGCCTTCTAGGACTGGTCCTTCTTAAAGATGGAATTTCATGGCCTTGGTGGGCTTAGGTCTGGAAGGACTTGAATCCGCATCTCAGGGCTTACCTAGAGTCTGCATTGCAGCCCTTGGTTCCGGCTAACCAAGTTGAGGGTTTGGATCCTATAACATAAGTTGGCTGCCTAAAGGACGGAACTACAATGGAGACTATAGGAGGGTCGGTTTAGGCCTTAGGGTTGAGTAGCGGCTTGAGCTACTGAACTCTCAGCAATTTGGGTTTCAGCTTTAGGGGTTTAGGGTGTAGGGCAGTTTAGGGTGGGATTAACGTCGACGGTTTTCGGTATGCAGACAGAAACACCTAACGAATGCAAACAGCACCTTCCCAGGTGCTTGCCAAAAACCTGTCCTAGACCCTAAACATTGAAAGCCTCAACAAGTAAAACCCTAAACCCTCTAAAATCCTAAGATCCCCCAAGCCCTGTAAACCGCAATCCCCAGAAACTCTGAATACCGCCAAACCCAACACCCGGTCTCCAAACCGGCTCAAAGCTCCGAGCTTCGGGCTTAGGGCTTAAGGTTTGCTTGAGGGTCTAGGGTTTGGGGAGGCTAGGGCTCAGGAAAGCTTAAGCTTGCCTCGGCAAGATCACCATAAGAGGGCATTCCGAATGGCCCGATGCCATCCTGCATCGCTGTTAGGGGGTTCAAAGACTTTTTCAAGTTTCAGGGTGTCAAGATTCAGGGTTCAGCGTCGGGCTCCATTGTCTTTGGGTTTTTGTGGGTCTAGGGTTTCAGGTTCTACATAGGTTGTAGAATTTCGGGTTTAGGGTTTAGGGAGCAACTTGGGCACTCAGCGTTCGTGCTGAGTGTGGGTCTCACAGCGATTGACCCAAAACCCTGAATCTTAAAGCCCAGACCGTACACCCTCAACCTGTCTAGAGCATAAAATAATAGAATCTGTGATATAAGTCTCCCAGCACAAAGGGACCCCCCTTCCATGTTTGAAGAACCCCTTGACATAACAAAACCCTGAAAACCAGAAACAACTGAAGTCCACCCGCCCGAACCCCCCAATCCACAAGTCAGTCCTAAATCACCCATCTTATCTGACAACACCTCCTTTTCGGCTTAGGGGCTCAGAGCTGTAAGTCTTCAGGGTGCATCTTGTAGGTCTAAGTGATAAGGCTGCGAGATGAGAGAAGCTCTAAACGCTGAACCGCTGTTTACGAGTTTCGGATCTTGAGCTTCGGGGTGTACATATATATAATTTTATATATATATATATGTATGCACATATTTATTTCAGAGTACGGTAGGTTCGGTGGCGTGCGAAAGACCCCTAGTAAGATGAGAAGTACAGGTGGAGCGCGGCTTCTTGATGTTAACGGTGTCTGTTGATCTTTCGATGGGGTGCGTTTTGTATGACATTACTGAGGGACTGTGACGGAATACGACTACTAAGTGACTACGCATTGTTCGGGCTGCTTTGTTGCAAAAGCACCGGTCGTTTTCCACGCAGTGGGAAGGCTGGTCGGGAGCCTCGAACTCCCCCTAATTCAGAATAGGTTTCAATTGGCAGGGATGATTTCGGGAGGACTCGCCCCAATGTGTTTTTGTTGATTATGGGGGGTGTTTAATAACAGGGGGAAGGATCAGAGAGAGGAAAGCCCCGGCAGCACCTATACTACCTTGTGATGACCCTTTCTTCCGAAAATAATGAAACGAAACGACTGAGTGCAATGCATTCCTGTTTCTCCTGAAGAGGAAACCCTACATAAAACAACCTGAACCGCATTTGAATTAACTGCCTAGTGTTGTGGCCCACTTGGCTTTCTCGGCAAGAGCGCTGCCATGTCCATCTATGGGAAAAGGCTCCAGTACTCTGAACCGGGAGCCTATGAGCGCAGTCCGCGCCACCGCACAAGGTTTAGGGTTTTAGGGTTTATAGGGTTTATAGGTACAATACCTAAACCCTATATCTTCCTTTACATCAAAAAGAATCCCTCCCCGCCGTGTTGTTAGGCGTGGCACAATGGTGCGCCAAGATGCGCCGAAATCCCTTTCATCCAGCACAACAGCCACCCACGTCTCAACATCCCCCGAAAACTTAGCTCCCTCTCTAATTACACTGCATAGGATATGCCGAACAACACGTCTTGCACCGTACGGTCCGAGCATTACCCCCCCTAACCCGTCTCATTAACCCTCATGTCAAAACGAGTGTCAAACCATGCGCCCGATTTGCCAAGACAGAGAAATACTAGAATCACAAGAACCAAAGTAATCAAAGGCGACTCTCCTCCATGAAGGTCTGCTGACTTCGGGAGGAGGAGATGGTCCGCTCGATCAGCACACGGTCCGCACAATCGATCCTGGGCTCAAGGCTTTGACTTTGCCTAAGGCTCCAATCTTAAGCTACTGGCAGCCTGTATCTGAAAATTCGGGTTGGGTATCAGGTTTGTTGAGGATATTGAAGGTTCAAGAGGCTTCTAATGTAAGTATTCAGATTGCACCCTGTGGCTCTACGCACCCCAGAAACATCCAGAAACGTCATGAGGCAGAAGGGTTGTTGCTGCGACGTTCGGAACTTGTGATTTGCTTGTGCCTTGTCGAGTTCTGATCTTTGGCAGGGGCTGTGTAGTCTGTTTTGGATGGTATCAAGAGGCGATCAGACTTCTCATGTAAGAGGCTGGCAGATAGCAACGGTTCCAAATCAATCGCAATGGCCGTCAAGCCAGTCCTGGACATCTTCAGGGGTACCAAGCAAGTTTGACATCAGGTTGCTTCAAGCAGGTGCTGGAAACCACTCCAGGTATGGTGTTGTAGTTGTAGATGGTTGTAGTGCTTCAGGTCGCTCTTAGTTAAAGCCTAAACCATTGCATGAACGCCTATCTCAAACTTCTAAAGACATCCCTAAACCCTGGCAGCCGTGGCTCAACTGCCGAATGCACACAATAGCGAGAACGCAGACCTGAACTTTCAGGGATCAGGGTTTAGGGGCCGCGGTAGGAGACACAGACACATCCGATCCTACACTCTCACACCCATGGAGATCTTGGCTTCCCTGGTTTCTTCTTCCTCTACGACCCCTAGATTCTCCAAACAAGGGTAACTAAGCCGGTAACTACTACTATTCACAGTCTATATTTTTAGGCCAGGTAGGCCCCTGATGGGAGGGCTGCAATCCTGACCGATGCCGCCTACACTTAAGAGCATCTTCGGCTGCAGAACCGCCAGTCACTCCAGTCACTGTTTCCGTCGCACCGGACTCAACTAACTCCGACAACGAACTCTGGATCTTTCGTGCTACGCTACAGGTCCTGCATGCTGTAGGCACGGACACCTGTATAGTGAGCTATCATAGTGTATATAGCTACACAGGGACAGCACGCTTTATTGCAGGTTCTAGTAACTGGGGTTCTTGTTCGCAGAAAACCCTGCAAACCGTTACCCAGCGAGCCCAAGTAGCTCGTAACTGACGAACGGTATGTCCAAGACTCTGCCAATCCTGATTTCCGGGGATGACACCCGAGCACCTCGAAACCTTAGCCGGAACCTCAATCGCCCTTCCGCTTCGAACCCTCGGCTATTTGTAAAGATACTTTGGCATATAGTATTGATATGCCCTTGTAGTCACTTTTCTATCACTAACCTTCAACTACCACAACACATCACCCTAATTCCTAACGTTCCTACATTGCGAAAATTAGGCATCCCATCTGCGGGGCTCCTTGGCTGGCGACTATTTCGGGTCCATATGAGGATTCAAAGTTTTTCTGGAGACCATGATTGAAATTCGAACAGAGGTGCTTGATTAAATTGATTTAACCATTCGGGTTTAGGGTTTCGGTTCAGAGCTGAGGGCAGACTTTGGGAAGCTATATGCCAAACCCGTGCACTTCGCTATCATGGAGCTTGCTCAGTACCGACGGTTTTTGGGTCCTGCGACTTCGTGCATTCCCAACCTACGAAGATCTGTGCAGCCAGGACTAGTACTACCCTAAACCCTAAACCCTAAACCCTAAACCCCATTCACCACTTGCAAGAAGCCGCATCGCGTGAGTAGGGCGCTCGAAATTGGAGACTTCCCTTTATTATCAGGAACAGGCCGAGAGACATAGGGTTTAGGGTTTAGGGTTTAGGGTTTAGGGGCCTGGACACCCACGAAAGAACCCGAAACCAGAGAACGACCAATCAACCTAAACGCCTTTTTACGACTTCTGCCCCAACCCGAAGCCCCGTGAAGCCAGGACACAACCGCCAAAGTCAGTGCTCCCAGGGCAAGGCCACCGTTCAGGAAACTGCGAGGCAAATACCTCGAGTGTCTACAGTGAGTTTTGAGGCCGGACCTGAACAGCTTCAATGTGGTTCCTTCTTGTATCCATCGTACAACATGGCCAAATCCCCCAGTCTTGATTCCAATATTCACCGTCATGATCCGAATAAGGTTTTGGGGGTATGTTGTAGTATACCTATAATAGGGACTCCTACGGAACAATATCTTAACTTGTTCAAGCCCCGGCTGCTCATAGCAAACTTTACCAATCGCCCGAAATGAATGACGCTGCAAGACTTGAGTGGTCTTGGGGTGTTGAGGGACAAACAGCAGTAATATAGTAGGGACTCTGCACAGCGCACACAGGAGTGCCAAACAGCAACCCTAAGCTATCTTCAAGTAGCAAAGGTTCAGCTGTCCACAAATCGTCGACTGAACCTTTTTTCTCGAAAGCGGGCGGACTGCATTCTTGATTATCCCAGAACACTTCTACAAGCCTTCTGAAGAGTAAGACCTTCTGAAGAGTAAGACCCATCTAAGACCCTAAGCCCAGCTGCAAGACTGAAGCTCCGAGGAAGCCTTTCAAGATCATCACCACCAGCTGCGACTGATCCGACACCCCAAGCTCCTTGCAGTTTTCAAAAAGATTTAGGGGCTGGGGGTAAACGGTTTAGGGTTCCGGGTTTAGGGTGTAGGATTTGGAGCTCATGGGGATAGAGGCTTTTGGGCCCTCACCTGTGGACAGTTTCTGATGGCCGGTCGTTGTAAGGTTTTCTAGATTTCAGGGCAGCTACTGTCGTGCCCGCCTCCCCAAGCCAGAGCTGTTTTTGTGTTGCACTTCGGCAAGCCTCGAAAAACACCAAGGGGGCCTGAACCCGCAGTGTTCAGGTATCGGATAATTCGCCGGCTCGTCCAGATCATGTCGTCTCATGAGGGACTTCTCAATGACGCAACATCCTTCAACCATGTCCCGCAAAGCGATCATGAACTACGTAGAACTACCCCTCCCAAAACACTGAACCTAAACACGCAGTCCTTGCTGGTAAAATAACTGTTGTTCGTAAGGAGGTGAATTGGTATAACGATTATTGTTGTTTGCTGGGGGCATGCGCTCGAAGCCTTAAACTGACTCAAACGGATTTCATGCTTATGGTCCATGCTTGTTGTTTCCCTGGAAGCCTAGGGTACATGCTTCAGCTTCAGCAACATCTTCTCCCGTTCGCCTTCGCCGGAGTCAAGAGGTACATCGGTTTGTAGAAAGGCCTCAGGGCTTTCGGTTTCGGTTACGCAAGATCAAGATTGCAGGATTCAGGGCTTGGGGTCTACGCCTTTAGGGTCTAATTGTAGGTATAATTAGGGTTGGGCTTTGGGCGTAGGGTTTATGGGGTCTAGCTTTGAAGTTGTTCTCAACGTTCTTGAAACTGTGGCGAGGGCTCCTATTGTCTGTGGTCCCATAGTGGCACGTAAGTTGCAAAGAGGAAGAGCTGCGCAATTGGTTCAGCCGTCCACACAAGACGAGCACACCAATCCCAAATCCCAGAATGCCTATAGGCACAAAGGAATCCAAGTACACAAGGCAAGCACACCAATCCCAAGTCCCGGAATGCCGATGCCTATGCAGAAGGAATCCACATTTGAAGTAAGTAGATACTGTATGCATGTCGCGTGCTCTTCCTTGCAAAGCGCTTGAAGTGCTTGCTTTGTGCAGTTTTTTGCACGCACACTCTCTCCTGCTCTGCCTATCCCTCTCTGCCTCTCGCACTCCCTCTCTTTGCACAAACACATAAATTGGTTGCACATTGATTCGTGTGTGTGTGTGTGTTTACGTACGCATGCAGGTAGGCATGAGTGTATTCGTGCGCGCTTATGACTGCAATTGTATTTGCATTTCTATTTCTGTTCCATTCCATTTCTGCGTATATTTATAACTTGTGCCGTGGACAGGTTTTGCGCCGACTTAGCAACAACACCGGAATCCCGTGATGCCGGTATAGACTTCAGTTTTTCGCTTTCTCGCTTGCCAAGTCCCAACCAAACAACAGAACCGCTCTTACACACAGCAGCGGTAGTAGCCGGAGAAGCACAGGCCCCCACCCCCCTCGTAAAGATACCAATCCTCCGCTTGGGTCTTCTATGAAAGGGAAAACTGGTGGGCCGTCGGTATACCATAACGATGCACCGCTCTCATTTTCTCTTTGTGGAGGGGATCCCATGGACAGACCAGGCACAGCAAGGGAGACACCAGGCGGGGATCGAGACCCAAAAGGTCGTCGTCTGCTTCGACTCCCTGCTGCACCTACGGCATTCGGACTGAGGGTATATCTTAGGGTTTGGGAGTTTAGGGCTTAGGGGTTTGGGCTCAGGAGTCAAGGCCTGAGTAGGGCCGATATAGTGGGAAGGCTCGGGTTGAGAGGGGGGCAGGGATTTGGGATTTCTGGATGTTGCGTTTAACCTCAAAGGCCTGATCTGCTGACAATTACTGATCCGGCGAACCAATGAAAAAAACACCAAAACCCTACAGTACCTTGCCCAAAACCGAATGGCCCAAAGCCCAACATTATGAGCCCAAAGCCCTAAACCTAAGTCCTCGACCATCACCTTGGCCTCCGGCAGCTAAGGAGCACCCCTTTCTATATTACTCAGATTTCACCAGCCCCACGGTAGAACCGGCACCCCCACGGAATCATCCGAAGTGTCTTGAAAATCCATGAAACCCAGGAAAGTAACACGGCACCCTGTATGCCCGCTACCTCACAACAAGCATCAACAACAAAACAGGTCAAGGCAAACCCTAAACCCTACTTTCAGGTCTAGGCACGCGGAGAAGTTCTGGCACCAATGGGCGACTGGCATACTGCGCCAGCTGACCCCTGGGCGAGGACGCCTGCGCCAGATCAGACAATACCAGCAAGGGATCTATCAGGGATCTATATGGGCTCCTGCAAGGAATGTATCTGGGTTCCTTTAAAGGGGGTTCTTGGGTTTTCACTAGGAGAGTTTAATGTGTTCTTGTTTGATATGTTGCCCGTGACCCGCTTGACCTTGGTTCGGTAAGTAACGGTTGGCTTCGGGTCTGGGTGGGTTTGACTAACTCTCAAGTGGGGGTCCCGTGCTTAGGGGCCCTAACACTTCCACTGGAGGTTTGGAGCATGTTCCACGAGAACTGAGGTAAGGAGCCCCCAGGACCAGTACCAGTATTGGTAATTGCTCCGGCATCTATCGTTGGCCGGCCTACTCCCAGAGCCGAGAGCCCACCATCCAATAACAGTATCATGCCAAAAAGCGCATGGCGTAAGCAATTTAAGACCAGTCATTAAGTTACTAGAAAGGGAAGTGACCTAATAAGTGTGGCGATAGTTACGACAGGCATCGTAATTGAAGTCGTCATGCTGTTGAAGCCATGCAGCTAGAACGGTCGCACGAAGTGTAAGCTATGCACTTACTGCCGCATGTGTCAGCATAGACCCCCAGTCCCTGATACAGATGCACTAGAAGACACGGCATTGGGGATTCTGTGCGAATCCTGAACCCGCAATCAAACCCATACACCCCGCCTAAACCCTTCCAACGTCCCCGCGGCACAGTTGAAATACATTCTGGAAGGGTCCTGAGTAACTACCTCGATGGGGGATACCTACCCAACCCATAAAGAGGAAGTCCTACTTCAGAAACCCTGTCTGCTACTAGATATGTACTTAGGACCTTTTGGGATTTTGAAAGAGCAGTGGAAGCCTCCAAGGAACTGACCGTTCCATAGCCCTCCGGGCGCATCACAAACTCTCGACGGAATCCACCTGAGGTCTTGTCAGTGGGATTTCGGAATTTCACGGTTTTACAGGTTTTTAGGCTGTAGAGCCTGTGGCTGTTACGGCTTAAAGCTTGTGGTGTTTAAATCCTCAAGCCCCGTGCTGGTACGAAACACTCTGTCGTTGTACTAGTTATGCTTAGTCGCTCCCGCAGTCGCCTGCCGTCGGAAGCTTGGGCTTTGGGCTTTGGGTTTAGGGGTTTGAGGTTTTATAGACCTGAAACTAAGAAGGCCGGATGGCAACGACCTTGGCGTCAGGTCGACCCGGGCCTGGGTTTGAGGAAGGCCAACAAGAGCAGTCACAGCTGTAGCAATGATATCAGTAAGAAGACGAGCTCTAATAGTCCAGTGGAAGCAAACTACAACAACCAGTACTCAGAAACCCGTCGTGCTAAGAGCAGCCACATGACTCAGATAGAGCTAGTAGTAGGCAGAACGACGACGACAAGAAGTCGAGAAGCACAACCGTATGCACAGACACATATCTTCAATGCTGGGGCTCCAACCACGCACGTTCTGTATTCTTATGAGCCGTATGAGCCCTATTAGCGTTACAGTTGGAGCTTGGCTAAAAATCTTGAAAACCGTAGTCTTGCTGTCCTGACTCAAAAGTTAGACAACGAACCAAATCAAGCGGCATGGTGCAGAAGGATGTAGAATATACCAATAGTCTCCAGTGTCGTTCCTTGCTTTGCGAAACAAATTTAGATTCAGGATCCTATAAGGCAACTCCCAAAAAGGAACTGCAATGGAGACTATAGGTAGTTTCAGGGCATGTGATCAACTATGTCTCACGAATCAGGGTAGGGAGGAACAAAGGCGAAATCAGAGAAACCCTCCCGCCAGTCCTACACCATGCGTCCTACCCTAAACCGTGACCGGCAGGCCTGGTTGTGCAATATCTGACGCCGTAGCCTCTTCCGTCTCTGCACCGTGCCTGTCGACGGTCCAACGGGTCCGAAGTGCCTACATACGTAGCAGAATGTAGGGCTTCCATAATTCCATAAGAGGAACTATACCAATATGAGTTGGGAAAGTATCTCCCACCTCCCATAACGGTACCTAGGACTCTTTAGGTGGAAGACCCAAGGGCCGTCAACCCGGAGGTCCGCAGTTTGGGGCAGGATTTGAGGTTTGGCCTTGGTTTCGGGTTTAGGGTTTAGGGTTTCGGGTTTCGGGCTTAGGGTCTGGGGGTTAGGGATTAGGGTTTGGGGTTTAGGGCCTCAGGTACGTCCTATACCCTCAGACGAGGTATGTCTACTTAGTATTTCCTTGTCAACAGGCCTTATAGCACCGAGGATATGGTCCACTCTCACCTGACCCGACTTACGGAGCAATGGCATGTCAAAGTAGCTAAGGGGCCAAGGATGACGAAAACTAACCGTCAGCACTCTAGACATGATAAAACCTGAATCAACAAACCTTCGAAGTCTGAGACCTGTAAGACCCCAAGCCCAAGACCATTGTCCTTGAAACGCAATGCCTACACCTAGAAGCCCTGAAACATCCGGATGCGTGACCACGAGGTTGCGCGAGCCAACGGTGTCGTGGACAACCTCACGGACTGCGCATTCTGGCGAGGGCTCCTGTTCTGGTTGAAACTTACGGTTCCGCGGAATGTGAGACCTGGATTCCCCGGGCTTTAGGGGCATAAGGCTACCATCACCAAAGAACCCGGCCTAACCATTGAATTGACAAAACATGCAATCTAAGATCGGAAAATCTTTAAACCCTTGGTCCTTGGTCTCGGGCTGCAGGGGTTGATGCCTACACAGAGTCTCCAAGACTTGCATGGGAACTCTGAAAGACCCGTCTTGCCAGTGGAAAAAGAATCTAATAGGACCTAGGCGGGTCCCAAGGCCAAGGCCCTGCACTTGAGCTTTCCGCGGCTCCGTCTACCCACACTGCCACATTACCAGCAAGTTGAAATGCAATGGATGTCCGGGAATGCACCGAAACCTCAAACCCTGAGCCCTATATCCCAAAGCCTTACACCCAAGCGATCCTTTCAGGAGTCAAACAAAACACACAGGCAATCGTGTGAATAGGGATGCCATACTACACCCTAAACCCTAAACCC